AAACAAAACAAAACAAAAAAACCTAAAGTACAAATTTTAAAAAAGGGTTTTTTTCTGGCTTTATAAATATACATAGTATATCAGGAGTCAGAAAGCTAGAATTCAAATATTTTGATCATCTTGAATAAGTCATCTAAATTCTCACCCTATTTAACTCCCACTCAGCTCTTTGACTCTGCACTTCTATGCAAGTGGGAGTATTAACATGTGCAAGAAGTTAGAGCATAAAGAACTGAAAAGTTCCAGGAGAAGAAAGTGCTATAATTAGTATTGTATGCGCAGGTCTTAACGCCTCAATCTTGAGCATGGCCTACTTAAAAAGTCACTATCAACTGCACAGGTCAAATCAATGCAATATACAAAACGTAATTAGAAAGAATAAATTTTCAATTGTTACCAAAACACACTTAAACAGTTAAGAAATAAGAAAAATAAATTTAAGAAACTTAACCTAAGGTATATAAAGTCCACGAAGTCTTAGTAAAAGGACATTCATTCCAAAAGTATGAGTAAAATAAATTTAACTACAGAAAATTCTGAAAAACACTAAGCCTCCAATAAATAAAAGATATTAAAAACATGAGAATAATCAGAAGAAAACTAATTATTACCCTTGTTGACATACCTCTTCATCATCAAGGAAGGATTCAAACCAGTCCCATAGATCTGTAGGGGGCTGTGTGTACCTAGAATAACAAAAGATTGATTAGGCTATGTGATTTAAAATGACATATTTAACAGAAATGTAGATAAATGCATGCTTACCTTATATACATAAATCCAAGAGCTCTAATATATGGAGAGTCCGTGTGTGTTATGAGACCCATCACTTGCTTGCGAGTTAACTTCAGGGTAAATAATTTGTATAACAGGCAGAAAGCTGTAGAAACTATTCCTCCTGTTCCAACACCTCGAACCTTTAGGAGAAACAGTTAAGATAAAATAGTAAATTAACAGAGACATTTGACACCAATGGTTCACCCATTAGGTATTAATAACAAGATATAATCTAGAACCGAGAATGGAGCTTTAATAAATAGTAACTTTTCTAACCCCATTCACCAGACACTTGAATTTAGATCAAAACAAAAAAACAAACTTCTAAGCTTTGTCAACTGCCATCTGGGTAACTGTCAGACTTTTAGTTCCCTAAATATCAACTTAGTTATCAGACACAGAAAAACTGAAAAATGCACGTACTTCTACTTACCCCTCCGCACATCCCCGTTTGGCCCGCTGTTTTCCTGCTTCCTTTCTCCCAAGGTTCAACATGTGTGACCTGAAATAGAAAAGAGGAACACAACAAACATTCATACTTTGAATTTTTTTTAAAACCACGATTAAAGTAAACCCAATTCCATATCAGAGCAGCTTCTTCCAAATGTTTGGAAGTTGGGTATTCGGACATGATGCATGTATTTTGCTTAAAATCTTTTAAACTTTAAAACATCTTTTAAAAACTGCTTAGATTTTAAAGAGCACCAATAAAACTGCCAGGGCTTAACAAAACCTCAACAGCTTTATGAGCAGAGATTCCATTAAAATAGCTTTGTAGAGAGTGGATACGTGTGGAGCCAAGAGATTTCTAGTAGTCTCATAGACTTGTAAAAAATATTTGATAACAGATCAACTTTGTATCTTATTATGAATTGCCTAAAAAAATAAAAATTCTCATTTTAAATTGGATTTAAGGCTCCAATTTAAATAAAGAGGATCAAGATAAATAAAATGAATACATAAATACATAATATAATCAATGAAGTTTTAGTATTTATTTCAAAAAAAATTCTTCAACACCCTTGATAATTTTATGGTGGTTTAAAATTTTACATTATAAAACAAATGACTTGGAAGTATGTACGTTAAAACAGTAACAAGTTACTTGTAATGCAAAATTATGGAACTTTGTATGTTTTGGGTTTTTTTTACCATGAACAGGCACTATGTTCATTCCTGATTAAAGATGAAATTACAAGGACCACACCTACACAGATCACTCTCGTTAGTGTGTAATTTATTTTCAGCCTAATTACATGAACCAAGTCAATTTTCCCCATAATATAAACTGCCAAAAAACTGTGTGACTAGTCATTCATTATATTAAGTGTAATCGATACAATATCGTCTTTGTTGAAGTGAGTACCCTATAAAAACCACATACTTTACCTAAAAATAGCAAAGAACGAATATTAACTCAATAACATAGAACTCAAGGTGTTTTGGAAAAATAAGATCCATATTTAGTCTAAAATAAAAACAAAATTAAACCCTGTTCTTTCACTATGCATTTCTAAAACTGTATTTTTACCCATCCATGATTACATTTTATAATCTTTTTCAGTGGCTTCAGACAGAAAAGCACGCATTTAGAGCTCTACACTATTTTCCTCAGCACTGCTTTACTATTTCATTTCGTTTCCCCCAGTTTGCTATATTAAAGATGTTTCAATTCCTTCCCGGCTAGCCAAAGGGGTGGATGCAAGACAAAATCCGACTTAAAACTAGAAGCATACATATTTCAGTAATTATTTGATCTGGACATCTTGATAACAAAACCTGGGTCTTTAATTTTACAACTAAATTTACATTATCTCTACTATAATCTTAAGTTTTCAAAACAAGTATTTGAAATTTGAAAACAAACTTTTCCTCTATCACAGTAACATTTGCCTGTATTATTAAACAGAACCTGCCACAAAAAGGGCAGGAACCCAATTTTCAATTGTTTGAAGTTTACTACACAAAGCTAAGAATTAAATATTCACCATACTGTATTCATGCTGAAAAAGGCCTTACCTTTTTAAAAGCTAAAAAAACCTAGTTCACAGTATTACAATTACTTACAATACTCTTGTAAAAGGATAACAAAATTTCAGTGTATTTTACATACCCAAGGTTGACTGTATTCTCAAAATATGTTTTCTATAAAAAAACTACTATCTCAAATCCTTTGATAACCTAATCACTTAAGGGGGGGGTAGACTGTGGATAAAATATAACCTAAAAGCAAATAAAGAGAATTTCCTTTTGTTAACACCTCTACAGATATGTTCAGACCACAGAAAATACTTTATGTGGTCTGTCAAGTGTTTTCAGAGTCAAATAAACAAAATGGATGGTATTTTATTAGATGCTCTAGCTAAAATATTTAAAGGTCATTAATTCTATTATTAATATTCCTTAAAATATTAATTAACCGTAAGAGGCCTGGAAGATATTTTTAAACTATATAATTTGCAGGTAAGTGGAGGAAACCTATCTAGTTGGTGAAGAAAAGCCCAAAACCAATGGCCAAAAAATACCTAAATAGCCGTTCATTTAACCAGGGAAATGCATTTATGGCGATTGAGCATGATTAATAGTGCATACCTCTACCTGCGACCCTGGGCTGCTCCGAGCCTCGCTGCAAGACTGAGTCAATCCTGCTAACGAAACAAGAACTGAGACAAGAGTGCAGTGAGGAGGCGCCAGGTGAGCTCCCCAGCACAGCCAAGCCAGCACCGACCCTGCCGCAGAAGCCCAGGGCCCAGATAATTCTAAATAAGCCCAATGCACAAGTTACTGAGACCACTTACTCCTGACTTCCTGCTGGGAAAATTTCCAGGCCTTCTTCTGCACACCTCTTGCACTGGCTCCTCTCCACCCTCAACCCTCCCACCCCCACCCGCAACACGCACTGACCATTTCCCTGTCTGGATCGGATAGAGAATACCAACAACACGAGGCCAACACTGTAGTCAATACACGCCCTGGCCCAGGGTGAGCGGGAGAAGCACCAACAAGTTGATGCTGAGTAGATGCACGTCAAAAAGAATCATTTTAAAGCTGTAAACTGGAGAGGATGATTACTCTTTTCTACCCTCCCATCCAACTCCCCCCAGGGGTGGGCAGGAGGTTGCGGGAGGAGAGTTCGATAGCGGCGGGCTCTCCCAGCCCTAAAAATCTGAAAAAGAAATGAGAGGGCGGCCCCCATTTGACCCCTCCCTGGCAGACTACTGGCCACCGCTCCCCCTCCCCACCTTCCCGCACCTACAAATGCTCAGACCTCAAGGGCTGCCTCCGCCCAACCGTATACCTTCCTCCGAGCTTAACCCGACCGCCCCCTGGCCCCCCAGGCCAAGACTCTTCGTACCTTAAAGTAGATCTCGTCCACCACCTCGTGGTAGGTCTTGAGCTCGTAGAGCTGCACTTTGAAATAAGGCGACGACAGGATATTGGTCAAGATCATGGGGTTGAGGTTCATAGTCTTCTCGTTGCCCCACAGCGGCAGCACATTTCCCTGCTTGCCCGAGACCGCCGGCTTGGTGGCGCCACCGCCGCCGCACTGCTGCTGCTGCTGCTGGGCCGCGGCTGCGGCCGCCTGGTGCTGCGGCTGCGAGTTGCCTGTCAGCGCGGGGCTGTTGTTAGCCATGTTGCGGCGGAAGGAAGGAGGGAGGGAGAAGGGAGGGGGAGGGGGGCCAAGCTCGATCTCGCTCTTCGGGACAACGGTCCGGGACCCTACTCCATGGAACGCCGTCGGGAGAGGGGACCGCCTCGCTGTCCCCCGGCTGGGTGAGGGAGGGCAACGAGGACGCCGACGAATGGACGCTGGATCGAGAGCAAACGCCGAGACGCGAGCTGCGAGAACTCCCGGCAGAAGGCGAGCCGGCGGCCACGGAGCGCGATCTCTTCCGCCAACTGCCCCTGGGAACAAGATGGCGGGCCCGGCGGAAGTGACGCCTCACGCCCCAGCGTTCCAAGATGAACCGGGAGCCAATCAGAGACGCCCAGCTGGGCTGGAAATTCCTCTTCCTAGTTCCGCACGTTCCGTGCACGCTGAGATCCCCTCGGTGGTCACCGGTACCCGACTCGGGAGATTTCCCCTGGGAATCTAGGAGTCAGGGGAAGGGGTTATAGGTTCAGTTCCTATGCTTTAGGATCTGGGCTGCGGGCCCAGTTTCTCCTCTTCAAAGCCGGACAGGAAAGGGTTCGCATGGATATATGCTTGCGAATTCGCGACTCTGACTTCTGCGAAGTACCTTCGTCTCTTGAGTTCAGTTTTAAGATTCTCTGTAAGGAAGGATGATCAGGACTTTATTCCTCCATGTGATTCCGATGCAATTGTTACATCTTTCTGTCTGCCGGCTGTAGGGTACGACCGGAGGATTTATTGTTTGAACCTAAATTTATTCAGCTGTAAGATTGGAAAATGTGCTGGGCTGTTAAAACATCTGAACATTAAAAGAGAGACGGTACTTGTAGCGACTAGTAGAGTACTCCAAGTATGTGTTAGGTGCCTTTTCTTTCCTCCTTACTCGAGTTAGTTCATTATGCGGATGCATTCTGAGTGGTAAACATTGGGCGAGGCCTTGACGGGGTGGGGGATGGGGTTGAGGAGGCGGGAGGTGTAAAAATGAGTCAGAAATCGGTCTTGTCTCTCAAAAGCTATTGTTAACCTAGAGAGATTAATGGTATTTGGAGTTAAGAGAAAGCTGCGAAAAGCACTTAAGTTTCTACAGATGCTGTCAGGCTGCTCAGCTTTATCAGCAGAGATCACCCTGAGGATATGTAGAAGCAGGAAAGATCAGGTTTGTTAGAGCGAAAATAGCCCAGTTACAGGAGCAGGGAAATAACGCTTATGGGAGGGAGAGTAATGGCCTGGTTGGAATTGGGCCACTGTTTAGTGCCTGGAATGCCAAGTTGAAACATTAGGAATTTAATGATGTTTAAATCCAAGGGCTACATAATTAAACCCCTAAATCTACTTTTAGATGCTAATATTCCTAATATTCTCTGGCTCCAATCCATTCTTCAGTACTCTTCAGAGTACTGCCAGACTCTTTGTTACAAAAGTACAAAACCCCTCCTCAAAACCTTGGATGGCTTACTTAGTGACATCCCAATTGCCAAAATTCAATAACTTTTTCATTCTTCATCCTATATGATTTCTGCGGCACTTTTTTTTTTAAAGTTTTATTTGTTTAATCTCTATACCCAACGTGGGGCTTGACCTCAGGACCCAAGATTGAGTCTCATGCTCTTTGGACTAAGCCAACCAGGAGCCCCTGTGGCACTTTTTATCATTTACTCTTTCCTAGAAACTATTGGGGTTGGAAGTTTGAAAGTGGAGATCTTCACTTTCAGTGGCCTAGACACTGAGGAGGGGAAAGGGTAAGAGAGAAACCTTGGGAAAAATCCACACCTGGTTGAAGATGAACCAGCAGGAGACCGAAGATAAAGCAGTAGGAGGTAAACTGGGAGACCATAGTATGACAATGCAAGGAAAGATAAATGATAAATGAAGGGTTGGAGTGACTAATAGAGTTAGACAGTACATGAATGATCATCCTTTATTTTACATTAAAGAAATGAAGCTTTGAGAGAAGCGGGTTTCACTTCCTAGTAAATCTTGTTTTTCTATACATTAGTTTATACCAATGCACTCTCCAAGGAAAACTGATGATCTCAATCTCTAATGAATTACCAAGTTAAAAATACAACGGAAAAGGGGTGCCTGGGTGGCTCAGTCGGTTAAGCATCTGACATTGGCTCAGGTAACAATCTCACAGTTCAGTAGGTCGAGCCCTGCTTCTGTGCTTTCAGCACAGAGCCTGGAGCCTGCTTCTGATTCTGTCTCCCTCTCTTTCTGCCCCTCCCCCCCCCCACTCGCACTCTCTTCCTCTCTTTCTCCCTCTCAAAAATAAATAAACATAAAAAAAATACAATTAAAAAGAATTTTGAGGGGTGCCTGGTAAGCCTCTGACTTCAGCTCAGGTCATGATCTCACAGCTCTTGAGTTCAAGCCCCTTTTTGGGCTCTTTGCTGTCAGCACAGACCTCGCTTCAGATCTTTGGTCTCCCTCTCTCTCTGTCCCTTCTCTCCCCCCCCCCAAAAATAAATAAAATTAAATAACATTAAAAATTTTTTTTAAAAAGAAAAAGAATTTTGAACCCAGTTTTTCCTTTACGTGTATTTTTCTTCCTTTTTTAAGACTTCTTTCCTTTTTGTTTTTATTTACTTTTAAAGATTCTATTTATTTAAAAAATTTTTTTTCATGTTTATTTTTGAGAGAGCGCGTGCACACGTGAGCACAAATGGTGGGAGGGGCAGAGAGAGAGAGGAGACACAGAATCCAAAGCAGGCTCCAGGCTCCACACTGTCAGTGCAGAGCCTATCCAGGGGCTTGAACTCACAAACTGAGATCATGACCCAAGCCGAAGTCAGATGCTTAATTGACAAAGCCACCCAGATGCCCCTAAAGATTTTATTTTTAAGCAATCTCTGCACCCAACATGTGTCTCGAACCCACAACCTCAAGTTCAAGAGTCACATGCTCTAGTGAATTAGGTAGCCAGGCAGACAGGTATTTTTCTGTTTGGATAATAAGTTTATTGAATTTTTCTAGTGACACTCCCAATTGCCAAATTCTATGATCTTTTTTATTTTTTACTGTTTATTTAGAGGGGGAGAGAGAGAATTCGAGCAGGGGAGAAGCAGAGAGATAGCACAAGAGAGAATCCCAAGCAGGTTCCGTACTGTCAACACAGACAGCCTGATGGGGTTTGAACTCACAAACCGTGAAATTACGACCTGAGCAGAAATCAAGAGTCAGACACTCAACTGACCGAGCTACCCAGGTACCCCCCAAATTCTGTGATGTTTTAATAATTCCTTACTATATGGGGGTGCTTGGGTGGCTCAGTCAGTTGAATGGTTTTTTCTTTAATGTTTATTTATTTTGAGAGAGAGAGAGAGAGAAGGAGGCAGGGAGGGGCAGAGAGAGAGGGAGACACAGAATCCTAAGCAGGCTCCAGGTATGACTGTTGATCTCAGATCTTGATCTCAGGGTTGTGAGTTTGAGCTCCGTTTGTGCTGGGCATGAAGCCTACTTAAAGTAAAATTAAAAAATAAAAATAATAAAATAAATAAAAATTCCCTAAAACATATGATCTAGTCTTAAACACTCATTCACCCCTAGACTCTAATTTAATGAGCTCAGTAGAGGTTGAGGTTTAATGTCTAAGTCTCAGTAGCACCAAACTAAGGGAACCAGGTATTATGATAAAATGCTTAGCACAGTCAATGACTCCTACAACAGCCTGAAGATATTACTATTATTCCTCATTAAAAATTCACCATTCATATTTAAATTAGAAACACCACACTGCATATAGATAAAGCAGGTAAGTCTGGTTTGATCTGTTTTGACATGTGCACACCCATTGTCTTAGTCCATTCATGCTGTTATAACAAAATAGCGCAAACTGGGTAGCTTATAGAAGTAATTTATTTCTCACAGTTCTGACTAGTAGTTCAAGATCAAGGGACATGCTCTTCCTGGTTCATAGTTGGCACCGGCTAGCTATAGTCACATGGTTGAAAGGGTGGGGAACCTCCTGGGGTCTTTTTTATAAGAGCACTAATCTAATCTCATGAATGTGGGCTCTACCCTCATGAATTAAATACCTCTCCAAGACCTCACCTCCTAATAGGTTACTTTGGAGGTTAAAATTTCAACACATTGGGGCCCCTGGGTGGCTAAGTCTGACTTCAACTCAGGTCATGATCTCCTGGTTTGTGAGTTTGAGCCCTGCATTGGACTCTCTGCTGTTGGCACAGAGCCCAATTCAGATCCTCTCCCCCTCCTCCGATTGTTCTCTCTCTCTCTTTCTCTCAAAATAAATAAGTAAAATTTAAAAAAAAGTAAAAAAAAAGAATTTCAACACATGAAATTTGCAGGGATACATTCAGACCACAGCAGTCATTGTCATCACCACAATCAAGATAACACATCACTTCCAAAAGTTCTCATGCCTTTTTCTATTTTTCTAATCCATCTCTCTCTCCAACTCCATCCCCAGGCAGTCATTTTCTGTCAGTTTGCATTATCTTCTATTTTGAAGTTACTTCAAATATTTTGCCCATATCCTTATGTGGTTATTGGTCTTCCTATTGAGTTGGAAGAATTCTTCATATGATCTGAATATAAGTCCTTTGTCTAATATGTGTTTTGCAAGTATTTTCACATAGTCTGTGGCTTGCCTTTTAATTTTCTTAATGGTGGCTTTCAAAGAGCAAACGGTTTTTTATTCTAATGAAATCCAAGTTACCAAATTTTTGTTTTGCTTATGTTTCGCACTTTTTATGTTTAAGAACTATCAACACTAAGGTGGCAATGACATTCTCTTATGTTTTCTAAAAGTTTTATAGTTTGGGTTTTTTTTTTTATTTTTTTAACGTTTATTCATTTTTGAGAGACAGAGAGAGACAGAGCATGAGTGGGGAAGGGGCAGAGAGAGAGAGGGAGACACAGGATCTGAAGCAGGCTCCAGGCTCTGAGCTGTCTGCACAGAGCCTGACATGGGGCTCGAACTCACAAACTGCGAGATCATGACCTGAGCCGAAGTCAGACATTCAACCGACTGAGCCACCCAGGCGCCC